AGATTAGAAAGGAGGAACACTTTAAGCCAGTGATCAGGGTTTCACCAAAGAAAACCAAAAAAAAAAAAAAAAGGCAAAATCACAACCAAAGGAGGCAAAATAAAGAAAAATAAAACAAGAGCACAGAGCAGAGCAGTAAAATTGAAAACAGGAAAACCAAATGAAGCAGAAAGACAGTTCTTAAAAAAAAAGAAAAGATACATCTCTAGCAAGATGGATACAAAGTGAAGGAAAACCAGGGGACTGACAGATGTGCTTACTGCTCTTACAGTTGGCCCGTGTTCAATTCCTAGCACACCTGTCGGGCAGCTGACAGCCATATATAACTCCAGTTCCAGGGGACCCGGGCCCTCCTGAGGCCTCACTGGGCACTCACGCACACATGGCATACGTCCATACTGACATAACCACAGATACCTGACTAACAGTAAACATAAATCTAAAACAAAACAAACAAAACAAAACACAAAGAAGACACAGGAATAGTATCAGAAACAAAACAAAGACTGTCACTACGGAGGGATCTTCTCATTAAAAAGATAATAAGCAGAAACTTAGAGTCACTTTGTGTTCACAGCTTCAACATCTTAAAAGAAATAGGTCGATTCTTCTACTACTGCTTTAGAAACCTCCACAGCTGCTTTTGGCTTCCCTGTGGACACAGTGGGGTTCTTTTCTCTTCAAGTTCACGGCCCCCTTGGGGCATGCAACAATTGTATTATATAATGACACTCAGTAGGCAAAGTGGATCTTAGGAAAAATGGTCCCTCTCAACCATCAATACTGGTCCAAGGCAGCTTCAAGTGCCGCAGAACAAGATGGAGTTCTTAGAACAAAGATACAACCTTTCTCACCTTTGTGATAAGGTGAAAAGCTCCCAGAAAAATCTCAGAGTCTACCCTAAACCCCCAGGTAATTCTTTTAAATATATTGATTTAAATAGCTGATTTTAATTAATTATTATTAATAATTAAACAATTTAATATAAAAGCAGAAAGAGCTCTTACAATCATTTGTATGTGTAGTGTCCATGTGTTTGCACAGATGTGGGCATGTGTGTGCTCAATTGTGATTGGGTGTGGTACTGTATGTAGTGGATTGCTGTCTTTTTATCCCCTTCCACCTTATTTTTTTTTTTTTTTTGATTTTTTGAGACAGGGTTTCTCTGTAGTTTTTGGTGCCTGTCCTGGAACTAACTCTTGTAGACCAGGCTGGCCTCGAACTCACAGAGATCTGCCTGCCTCTGCCTCCCGAGTGCTGGGATTAAAGGCGTGCGCCACCACCGCCCGGCCCCCCTTCCACCTTATTTTATAGTGCTTATTAATTCTTTGACAAAGTCATACAATGTAATTTGATCATATTTACTCCTTCCCTCCACCTTATCTTTTGACACAAGGTCTCCCACTGAACTAGAAGCTCACCAATTGGCTAAACATGTTGGCTAGTCTCTTCCTTTTATGCTAGGGTGGCAGAGGTGTGCAACCATGCAGGGCTTTCTTCCATGGATGCTGTGAATCTAAACCCAGGTCCTCATGCTTGCATAGCGAACATGGTACTGACTGAGCCTTCTTCCCAGGCCCAGAACCTTCACTTCTTATTACAAGGAGTGATTGACCTCCCAATGGAGGTTTTATTCTCACACATCTTCAGCCCCAGGGCCCCTGGGTCATTTTCTCAATGGCCATGCTTACTTCTAGATATTTGCAAACTTCCATGCCCTTCCATATACTTCTTGCCCTGGTAGTAGCAAGATACAGAAGCATGATGGAAGAATGTCAGGAGCACACAATCAAGTTTCAAAGACCAAAGCAAATTCAAGCACATTTCAGGCTTCTGCCCCCTGTAATCCAAGACCTAGATGGATTGACAAGACTTCATGGACAGCACAGGCTACAGTATGAGACATCACCAAATCAAACCATAGGATAGAATAGTAAAGAAAAACCATCTGTCTGTGAAAGTTCCCTGTAGTGGCATTTCACTTGTATTTTAATAAATAAAACTTGCCTGAGGATCGGAAAAATAAAACAGCCACACTGGCCTGCCTTATAGACCACACAGCAGTTACACACACCTTTAATCCCCATAGCCACACTAGCTTACCATAGAAGCCAGGCAGTAGTAGTGCACATCTTTAACCCCAGAACTAAAGAGGATTAAAAACGGGAGGAGACAGCTCTCAGGAACAGTCTCATTCTGAGATTCCTGGAGGCAGGATTGCCATTTCGGACTGAGGTTGAGGTAAAAGCCAGTAGCTGGCTGCTTTGCTTTTGGGGGTTTTCAGGTTGAACCCCAATATTAGTCTGAGCTTTTATTAATTGTGCTACAGTGACCTCATTGTGCAATAGCACCAACAAACTGTGGACGGAAGTTCCTTACCCTCCATGTATCAACATGGAGATGGGCCCTTTGCTGCCTGATCACCACATTCAGATCAGAGAGTGCCACAGAGAGATACCCTTCTGGTGAACGAATGGTTCCAGAAGGCTCAGTAATGCACCCAAGTCTACCCTGAGGACTTGATGGCTCTTCTGCTAGCCCTGCCTGGTGTCTTGGGCCACATGTGCCGTCTAAGAACTTGTGAGTCAGTATGAAGTAGTACTGGTCTCCAATTCCAGTTTCAAGGCTAGGGGCACGTGTGTGTGTGTGTGTGTGTGTGTGTGTGTGTGTGTGTGTGTGTGTTTGTGCCATTGACACCTGTTGGCTATCTCAATACTTTACACAGCATTCTTTGCAAAATCTTGTCTATGATAACCACTTTTTCCCTTTGTCCTTTAATATGAATGTGTGTGTGTGTGTGTGTGTTCATGTGCCTGCAGAGTTCAGAAGAGGGCATTGGATCCCCTGGAGTTGCAGGTGGTTGTGAGTTACTTGACATGAGTGCTAGGAACTGAACTCTGGTCCTCTGGAAGAGCAGTTAGTGCTCTTAACCCCTGAGCAGTCTCCCCAGTCCTTCACCTGGAGTTGACTACAACACCTAGAAAGAGAATTGAACCTGTTCCTCAGATAAATGGATGGGTGGATAGATGATGATATTAGCTATAGGTAGATGATAGATAAAGATAGATAGTTGATAGAAATAGATTGATAGATAATAGGTAGATGATGGATAATTGATAGAAGATAGGTGACAGATGATAGATGATTGATAGACATAGATGATAGATAGATGATAGAAATAGATTGATAGATAATAGGTAGAAGATAGATGACAAGTGATAGACAGATAGATGATTGATAGATGATAGATAAATAGATAGATACATAGATAGATAAATGGGTAGATGATTGATAGATAAATAGATGATAGATAGATGATAGATAGATAGATAGATAGATAGATAGATAGATAGATAGATGACTCTGAGGCTGACTTTCACCTCCAGTCTTGTTCCTGGACTTGGGCCTCCTCCTCCCAACTTGGACACTGGCACAGTTGGTATAAAAGTAGCAGCTTGTCTCCAGATCTGGGAAAACCATTGCTCACTCTATTGTGTGAACTGCACTTATTCTGTGGTCACGACAGGCTGATAGGCCAGGGGTTAATCTCAAGGAGGTGTTTTTCAAATGCCCTGCTACACACTTAGGCTGTCCCCAGCTTCTCATTGTCATGGATGACATTAAGGAAAAAAACAATACCACAACCACTTTTCTCTTTAAAACAATGGCCCTGGATATAAAGAGGCAGGGACTTCAAATCTAGAATAAATTGTCAGAGCAGGGACTGAAGGGTCATACAGAACTGGACACTCCCCACAGAGGCATTCATGAAGCTACTGGGAGGAACATTATGGAATAGGAGACCTGGATAGGAGCACACTGGTCCTTCAACCACTGGGACCTGGAGGGGAGGAGGAGTGTACTGAGCCTCTCAGAGTTCAGGGGAAGGGGAGGGGAGAGGAGAGAAGGGAAAGGGAGGGAGGGGAGAGCAGGGCAGTGGAAGGGAGGGAAGAGGAGGGAAGGGAAAAGCTGGGTAAGGGATACAGGCATGGATGTCACATGCCAGGACAGCCCACCCCCAGAAGATGGCTCTGATCTGAAATGTTGGCATCGAGTGAGTGGCACAACTTTATACTGAAATAGAACATGTTAGCACACCTCCAGCACACACACCAAAGCCTGCCACATAGAACATGTTAGCACACCTCTAGCACACACACCAGAGCCTGTCACATAGAACATGTTAGCACACCTGCAGCACACACACCAGAGCCTGTCACATAGAACATGTTAGCACACCTGCAGCACACACACCAGAGCTTGTCACATAGAATGTGCTCAGTAAATAGCAGAGACCCCCCCCCCAGCTCCTCCAAGAGATGGAGACACTTTCCCCAGAGGAACAAAAGCTGGGGTAGGTGAGCAGGACAGCAGGCAGAGACATTCTTGCTGCCTCCTTGGCTGCACTGCAGCCCCCAAGAGCCAAATCCCTAGGGTGTTAGCAGATGGGACCTTCCCAGCTCTGTCACACACCCAGGCAAAGGGCAGGGTACGACACACAAGTGTGAATACAACGTCCACGTTCACATAGATGCACATCCACATCCCACCCACACAAACACATTCACACCCTCTATAGGCACGCCGATCCACACGCACATTCACATAAATACGCTCACACCTCCACGCTCCATACACGAAAAAGACACACTCATACCTTCACACCCACGCAGACACACTCTTGCACCCTACACCCACATTCATACCCTCACCCTCACACACCCCCCACATACATATACACATATACACACACATGCACACACCCCTACACCCACATTCATACCCTCATCTCCCACACATACATACACACACACACACACATATATACACATACACACAAATATACACACATACATACACACATATACACACACATACATACAGATATACACACATACATACACACACACACACACAGAGTGCCTCACACAATGCCTTTCAACATTGACAGTTTTCAGTTTGGGGCCCATTTGATTTGCACTGTGAATGAAGTGACTCACAAGAGTGTCTCCAAGTCTCCATGTCTCCACTTTCCTGGTGTCTTGGCATCATGGTCCCCCACCTCCAACAGCACCTCTGAAGCAAAAACCAGGGAGTTGAGGACTTCACATTCTTACGTCGAATGCTGCATGCCTGCTGCAGTTCCCAGTGAAAGACCTCAGTGAGAAAACTGCCAGGGGCAGCGGGGATGCCAGGAAGGGCGTCCTTGCAGAAACAGAATTGCAGAAACACATTCATTTTGAGCTTTCACCCTCTAAAAATGCAAGGAAATCCATGTGTGGCGTTTAAGTCACTCAGCCTGTGGTACTTGTGTTAGGATTCAGTCATTTTGCTGGCCTGGCCTGTCATCTGGCTATGAACTCAGGCAGTACCCTAGGCAGCCCAGGGTCCTATGGCTGCTATGGTACTATGCAGAGGTCCCTTTAAGAGACGAGCTCCTCCCACTCCAGATCTCTCTTTCCTCCTGCTCTTATGAAGGGGGAGGCAGAACTTTTCCTGTCTCTTCTCTTTTTCTCTTTCCCTGTCTCTGTCTTCTCTTCCCCCTTTCTCCCTTCCCTTTCCCCAGTAAAACTTCCCACACAAGCTCTGCCTGCGTGGCGTGTCTGTCTTTCCCCACCGTGGGCTCTCATCCGCCACGTGGCCCCTTGGCCCGCCAAGGTCCCTCCCGAGTTGTTTTACAGTTTATTTTCAGTCAGAGTAGAGTAATAGAGACAGTTCTCTAAAGCTGGCCCAAGAGACCCTAGCATCTGACTCCCTTCCTTTCTCTGCTCACCCCTCTGGCTCCTCCCTAACTGCCACCCCAGGGTCTTTGCACCCACTTCCTCTACCAGTCACACTCTTTTGTGTGTGTACATGTGTGTGAGTGTGCATGTGTGGTGTGAACAATTTGGCCAAATATTAACCTTGGGTGTTTCCCACCCTACCCCCTGGGAACCCTTCATCTTGTTTTTGGAGACAGGGTCTCTCACTGGGACCCGATGCGCGCTGATTCAACTGATTCCATAACTGGCCATGGAACCCCAGTGATCCGCCGGCCTCTACCTCCCCTGCCCTCGAATTATAAGCTTGAACCACCCTGCCTGACTCTTTTATGTATATATTCGGTGTTCTGAGGAATTGACCCCAGGTCCCCACACTTACGTAGTGAGTTGGCTAGCTTTATGTCAACTTTACACAGGCTTAGAGTCATATAAGAGGTGAGAACCTCAAGCGAGAGAAAATGCCCCTAGAAGATCAGGCTTCAGGCAAGCCTGTAGGACATTTTCTTCATTAGCGATCCGTGGGGGAGGGACCATCCCATTGTGGACGGTGCTCTCTCTGGACTGGTGGCCCTGGCTTCTGTAAGAAAGCAGAAGGAGCCATGGTGAGCACACCGATAAGCAGCACCCCACTCGCTTTCTTCAAGATTTTGGCCAAAAGTCACCTGCCGTGAAGCTGATTCTGAAAACTGAATTGCAGCTTGCTTTGTGTCCCCTGCTGTTTCCAACTCCCCTGTCATAGTATTCCGTTCTGTTTATTTTTTGACCCACTGATCATTTTGCACAACCACGAAGCAGGAGGACACGCTATGTGTCTATTTTGTTCCGTGATAAATCCCAAGTGTCCGGGACTATGACGCATGCGCATTTTCTTTTCAATAAATATTTTTTGACTGAGTACCCGGGCCTCATCCCAGCGGATTAGCTTGCTTGCCAGGAGACCACGTCATACCAGGACTTCCCAGAAGAGGGCAGCCGAGGAACGCCAGAGACGGCTGAGCGGCGGCGCTTTGATCTCAAGATTCTGGCCGACGCAAGATAGAGCTGGGGAGGAGTGAACTCCCGCCCCACTTACTTCTAAGGCAAGCTTTTCCCCTTAACAAAAGCGTTTGGTGTAGGAGGCCGCTGGGGAGCCGATAAGGCCCCTATCCATGGCACAGGAGGTTGTTTACCAAAATTCAGGTGTAAAAATTTGAGAGAGCGTTGAATAGAAACAAGGTCAGCCAGTCTCCCACGGTGGGAGGAGGGGGTAGAGAAGGCCAGCGGGGACGATCTGCGTCACTCCTCCAAAGGGCAGAAAATTTCGTTTGCCCCTACTATCTGGGGAAAGAACTTAGCCCCTAACTCACCCGGAGCTGTAAAGCCTCTAGTCTTGTTTTTGACACTCCAACAGATGACGTTACAAAATCCAGACCCCACACCCACCCCTGGTCAGTCAACCCTCTTCCCGGGTGCTTCTGTTACCCATGAGGGAATTGAGTTGCAACAGTAACAAAACCTTCAAAAGCTAAGTTCAAGGTGAAGCTGCCTCAGATCAAATCATCATTTGAGTGTGTCAGGTTTGGGGTGGGGCTTCAGGATAGTCATTGCCAGAGCACCTGAATGTGTTGACCCAGAACTGGCCAATCAGCTGATCCGACCATTGCTGCTTGGATGACAACATGAGCCAGCATTTATCGAGCACGTCTTGTGTGCCAGACACATGCAAGATATGTCAACGGCATTATCCCATGAGTTCCCAGAGCAGCCAGCTCTTCAAGTCTGGGCTCTTTGTTCTATCTCCAGAGGTTACTCCTCACCAAAAGAGCCGACTAGCCCTGCAGTTCGCTCTCAGGCGTGTGGAAGGAGGCATCTCCCTGGATCCGGCAGGATTGAGAGAGCGTGTAGTCTAGCTCGATCTCTGACAGGTGGAGAAACAGGCCTAGGGAGTGGACAGGAACTTCCCAAGTTCACACAGAGAAACAAACCTCTGCGGCTTGCATGAGCAGTTCGTGGAAGGATAAATCCTCTAACCACACATCCTACTCAAAGGCCTTTATTTTTCCTTCCTTGATTCCATATTCTGGGTATGATGGTGGATATTTCTAACTCCGGCACTCAAGGGCAGGAGCATCCGAATTCAAGGTCATCCTCTGCTGTGCTGTAAATTACATGAGGCTCTGCCTACAAAGCCAAACCAAAGCTCCATTCCCAGACTGCACCTCTTACTGCAGCAGCTCTTCCCTTCGCCATGTCACAAAGGCAACAGCTGGGCTCTTGGAGTTTTATTGACTCGTGGGCTGCCTCTGTGGGCACTGCTGACCCCCTGTGATGAGACGCCTGCCTTCTGCAGTCATTGGCTGTGTCTGTGCTCAGATGGCATCATTCACATAAAGACAGAGCCGGGCTACAGAGCAGGGCTAGATGAATAAACAAACACTTAGAGCAGGTGATCAAAGCTTTTGGTGTGAACCACTATTGGTTTTTTTTTTTAATAAGTTATCGCACGCAACATCTGGAAACTCGCGTGCTGGTATCTGGTGAATAGCTAGGTCTCCAAAACTTAGGGTCTGATTTCGTACAACGTCTTCAGAGTCCAGCCCAGTCTACCCTCACAGACCTCAGTTTGCTCTGGCTCAAATACTCCATAGTCTCAGGTGGCCGGTGTTCACTAACCAGGTGCACAGTCTTGTTCTTGGCTTTGCCTTGCTCTCAGCAGCTCACCCGCAACCTTTGATAATCTTTCTTTCAGCTGCTTCACACTCTCTGTGTCCTCTGTCCTGCAGTGATTTTTTTTATTTTTGTTTTTTTGAGACAGGGTTTCTCTGTAGCTTTGGAGCTTGTCCTGGAACTAGCCCTTGTAGACCAGGCTGCCTTGATCTCACAGAGATCCTCCTGCCTCTGCCTCCCGAGTGGTGGAATTAAAGACATGCACCACCAGTGCCCAGCGCTGCAGTGATTTGTAAAAAGCACAATGAACTGAGACGAGACAAGGAGGGGATGAGAGAGTTGCTGGAGCCATATTTTCCCTGAGTTGGGCTTGGTCCTAGAGGATCCTGGAGTCAGGATCCTGGCCACCTTGGGACAGTGGGTGTTGTTTCTTGCCTTCCATCTTAGACCCTCACTGTGTTTTAGGAAGGGCCCTCTGTGGCCACTGCTACCACCTGATAATTATTAAGGAGACAGACCCTAATTATGAATGGGCTATGTTCTGGAAGCATATAGAGGCCCAAGGCTGGCTTCATCTACCTGGATGGAACAAGAAGCGGGACTCTGAGTTCTCCTGACAGCAGCTGTCCCTAGGGCTCCAGAGGGGGCCAAGGTCAGGTCCACAGAGTTGAAGCAAAGGTTCATTAGTGGGGATAAGGGAAGGGCCCTGTAAGCCTTGAATGAGACCATGTGAGATATGTAGGCAGTCTGGTACGAATTCGAGGCTTGTAAACACTGTAGTGTATCTGAGAGCATCAGAGGTGCATCTGCTGTCTCTCTGTCCCTAGCTTCTTGAAGAACTTTCCTTTGTTCAGAAGCCGGCTCTCAGCCTGCCTGGGTTCGCTTTCTGACTCTGCTGTGAGCCCTGTGGATCTGGCCAGGATCTCTCTTTGCCTCAGTATCTTCTTCTATGAATGGGCACATGATTGCATAGGCTTCCTGAGCATTGAATGAAGTGTGAGGCTTAGCATCATTTCAGGTCATCATGGCTATGCTTCACTGGGCAGAACTGGTCCCCCAGCACCCTGCCTGTCCAGAAAAGAGGACTTGTTCTCTCTCTCTCTCTCTCTCTCTCTCTCTCTCTCCCTCTCTCTCTCTAAGACAGGGTTTCTTTGTGTAGCCCTGGCTGTCCTGGAACTCAGAGATCTGCCTGCCTCTGCCTCTCCAGGGATAGGATTAGAAGTGTGTGCCACCACCACCTCACTTGTTATTTCTCTCAGTAAATTCATTTTATGTGTCAAAACCAGAGCAGAACGTGAGGGTAGGGTCTGTGCTTCGGAAGAACAATCTCTGAGGTGCATGGTAAATGAAAACCCACCAAGTTCAGGGTTTTTAAATTAGCGTAGCCCCCAGCCCCTAGGTCTGAGAGTTGTATTGGTCTGGACTCCAAATCCCACCATCCACTGCACCTGCACCTAGAAGGCACAGGTGAGAGGCACCAGGAAGGATGTCCAGGGAAGATGTCCATGTCCAGGGCCAAGGAGGATGTCTTCTGTGACTCAGCCCCTTAGTAGTCACATTTACTCAGGAGAGTATTTCTGCCTTTTTTTTCATTTGGAGCACACATTATCTTTTCAACTAAAAACAAAAAAAAAAAAAAAACAAACACAAATTCAAATATCCAACTCTGCCTCAATCAGTGATAATTATGCCATTTTGTAAAAAGTCCAAATTTTGAAGGGATCACATAAAAATATGGTGCTATCCCATTGCTGGGTAGTGGAAGACTAATGCTCCCCAGGAAACAGTTTGTTCCCTAGTTCAGTGTTTCTGTGTCAACATTTAGGCACCTGTAAGAATATAACTCAAGCAGGAGGAAAACGAAAAAGAGGCCATGCGTTAGGTGATACACAATACCCAATGAAGAAAATGTCACACACACACACACACACACACAAACACCACCCCCAA